AATTTAATAAATTCCTCTTGGAGTTCAGGCGCACTGTTTTACAATTTACTCAGTGCATAAAGGGGAAAGTCAAAAGTAGTTAAAACCAGGTTGTTCGCAGTAGAAGATTTTTTTTTACATGAAACCAGGACAGAGTGACAGATTCAGGTCACAGAAGTGCTCTGACTTAGATATGGACCAAAGCGCCCTTTGAGTCTGTCTCCCTAAAGAAGTTACCAGACAGTCTTTTTAAAAGTGCCCTTTTTGGGATCTGCTACAGCATTTTTATACTGTAAGCTAAATAAAGGATGCATGTCACCTGCTGTTTTGTAAAAGGCCATTGTGTTTTATTTTATTTTATCCTGTTTTTTATGCTGCAAAAGACACGAAAACCATCCATAGATCCAAATTCAGTGCTTAGAATTAGCTGTAGTGCAGTGTAGCTGCCTGTGTTGGCAACTGCCAGTCAGTTAATGCATACATTTAAGCCTTACATTAAAAAAATCACCTACTGTGCATTCAAATGAAGGAGGAAGTTAGCCACAACTTCATTATAGGATTCTGTGGGGTTGACTCACTTAACCCCGTGTGGTCACCGGAGAAAGTGCAGTTTTTAGCATTTCTTTTTAGCCTTTTTAGCTGTATTTGGCTTTAGAGAAAGCAACTTTATTCACCTTCATTTAACACAGTTCTTGGTGAACAAATTAGGAAGTCAGCTGATGTTTTCACAGAGAAAAAGTTTGCAAAGAGACAAGTTCAGGAAAGCCTCCCAGTAAACTGTAAAAATTAACATATTTCTCAGATCCATTCTCCTTTACCATCATCAGAGTCGCCCTTTAACCACGTTGTTATTGATTCAATCGCAAAGTTAAAGGTTTCATAATCTTTGAGAAGTACATATTCCAACCTGAACCCCAATGTTTCCTGTGTCTCTCTAAGATGTCTCTGTGCAACAACCTCACTGTCAGATTTATATACATACACATATACACAGATATATTTTTCATTAAGGGATTTTGAATGGTTTTAAAAAGGCAAATAAAAAAATCTTTGTCTAGGCAACATTTTCTCTAATCTGGAAAATCATTCACAAGCCTGTCTGACTGAAAGGATCAGCAGCGTGCGATTTGAAGTCTTTCACTTCACACTTAAAGCACCTCAGAGTGACAAAAAAACATATTTGGCCAGGTGATCTCTGTGGAAATTGCAACGACTTGCTCTCGAAGCACTTTCACTCCTGCTGCTCAGAGTGCCGTTTTATTTCCCCTTGTTTGTGAAATCCTGCAAAGACAGATGCATGTGGCTAATCTGACAGCCATCTTTTGCAAAGCGAGACGGGAGCCGCGGGAGTGCGAGCGACGAGGAATGTCCCGTTGTGCAACATTGTCTTCGAGACAGGCAAAACCTCTTCATAGCTCAGCAAAGTGAGACCGCGCTGTTTACCAGAAGAGATCACGTTCTTTTTTCGGGCACGGGTTGACACAAGTTCACAAGGAAAACTAGTACTTTGAGGTCAACACCTTTTGTGCGGAGGTATTTTTTTCTGTTAAAAGGACAGGCTAGAATTAAAGGCATTTTTATAACTTACGAGTGATTTGACCTCTCGTTTTTCAGACGCGCCGTGGTGCGTTCAATTGGCACAGCTGCTGTGTGTGAGGTGACAGGTGATGGAGAGTTAAAAAGCATTTTCCAAGCCCTTCCTCCTCCCTTTTCTTTCACCCCCTCCCTCCACCTGTCTCTTTATGTAAACCACAGCTTTCTATCTGAAGCCCCATCTCAGGCTATATTCAAGCACATTGAACTCTGCACCTTCTCTCTCTTTCCATCTCTCCACTCTCCCCCAGACCTCGCATCGCCCCCATCTCCCTTTTCCTCAACTTATCACCTTCCACTCACTCTTTCTCCTCCTTATCTCACCATTTCAGCCTTTTTGCCTCATTTTTTCAACCCCTCTTTGCATTTTCATTGCGTCTCTCCTCTCGCTCTCTCTGTGTAACTGTAGATGGAGTTATTAGTCAGACAGTGGATGACTGAACAGGTGTTTTCCAAATGGGCCTTTGAGCACTCGCCGCATCATCATTGCTCCACACCAGAGGGGGGTGGGGGTGGAGGCTAGGGCTTTGTGTGTATGTGTGTGTGCAAGAGCTTGGCCTCTGCGTGCCCCTTTCACCTCAGGCTGGGCCATTTGCCAGTGCAGGGACTGAGGGCGGGGGTGTTACCGTACGTATCCATGAGTGTGTATGCATGTGTGGGTGCGTAACATATGTAGGTGTGAAGAAGTGTTATATTTTTACCAGCTGCTGCTTGTCGTTACTCTTTGAGGCACAACAGCACTGTAGAATAGCCTCAGCCTGGCCACTTTCCATCCCTTCGCTGAAAAGGCGAGCGCTGACACTTTTAGGGGTACGAGAAATGTTGTGTTGCTACACTTTTCAACCCTTAACCCCCATCCTGCCCCCCCGATCACCCGGCACATTTGACATGCTCAATTTGCTTCTTTCTTCTCTGTCTTCGTCGCGTCTCCCTTCTGTTACTCCTGCAGGTTTTTAGGACCCTGACCGTGCAGCGCCCCTTTGGATGTCGTAATTCTGTAAACTACTATAACAAGCTTGCTAAATGATAAAAGTTTCATAACAAACTGATGGAAGATTGCAAAAAACACAGTTCTTGGCCTGTCTTCCAGAAACATGCAGCGGCCTGCTTCCAGAGGAAACAGTTGAACTGGAGCACAGATATGAGTTTATATTAGTGTGCTCCAGTCCCATTTAGTCCTTAATGACTTGTGTAATTAAATAAAAATGCTGAAGCACTCTTAAAAAGTCTCTTTGTTTTCAAACAGCAGTACAACGAGGACGTACATCAAACTCCCAGAGCAGTCCAGGGCAGTACCTGACCAATGGCACAGACCCGTACAACGGCCAACCCTACCTGTCGGGCTTCATCTCTCTGCTGCTTCGTGCCGAGCCATACCCAACGTCTCGCTACGGGGCTCAGTGCATGCAGGGGAACAACCTCATGGGCATCGAGAACATCTGCGAGCTGGCGGCCAGGCTGCTGTTCAGCGCTGTGGAGTGGGCCAAGAACATCCCCTTCTTTCCCGACCTGCAGCTCATGGATCAGGTGAGTGTGAAGAATGA